ATTATAATAGATAGTCTATTCTAAAGATCATTTATAGGATAATATAGAACAATTAATTTTATACTCAATTTAGTTTTATTCTCCATAATTTCAAGATTTTCTATTACATGAGGTAAAGGTATAATGTGCATGGACATATTGTCATTAATTGATGGTCTCGTAGGTTTAGTAGGAACTTCCACAAAAGCAATACTACAATCACCACATATTATAGCTTTCTTCTTTCATAGTTGTTTATTTAGTCAATGAGTTTTTTTAATTGCTACTATTTTAACGTGAGGTATATTTGTTAGTGATAATACAATCTAAGTAGGTTCATTCTAAGCTTCATTAATTAGAACTCTTGTAATCCAAGGCACATTATTGAAGCCATCAAGTGTTTCATCTACAATCTATTTTAGATACAAAATCTTGGCAACTTCACTTTCAGCCAAAGATGTTCTTGGATGAAGATTCATTATAAATATTTTTGAGGCTCCAAATATAAGTATTGTATTTCTTTGTTGATTAAATACTCCTTATTGAAGACATAGAAATATATTCTCTTCAAAACAACAATTTTGAAGGCATATACATAATAATGTACTAGTTGATAGATCAATAATACTAATAATTCTTGATGAATCAAAACCAACATATATGCCTTTTTGTTGATGAATTCTAATGGTATGCCATTAAGGTGTGATAGTAAAATCCAAGTATGGCAACCAAACACCCATAGGTGATATATTTGGAACACAACTTGAAATGAATTCTTATGATATAATAATTTCAAATGAAGAAAGATAGAAGCATATTAATGCTATAGCATGCAAAACTACATGATTCTACATAGATGCAAGTAAATCTAAATAATTTCATAATTTTTTGGTCCTTATTGATGCATTAGGCAAATAATCACATCTTTCATTATTATCAACTCAAAATATGATGTTTGTTAATCTTATATCTATGCTTATTCACTTCTAAGCATATTTTCTTGATTATCCTATTAAAACATTGTATATAGACAATACAAAAGAATTTGTATCAAAGTCCTTTGAAGTCTATTGTACTACAACAAAGATTGAGTTGACATATTGTGTTCTATATGAACATTCTAAAAATAGACTTACAAAGTGATTTATAAAGCATATACAACTTATTACCTGGCCACTCTTTCTTCAAGCAAAGCAAGTTTCTTATATTTAGGCCACTCTGGTATTGCAATCTGGTATATATCATTTGTTGCAACAAAGACTTTTTCTACAACTTTGTGGTTTTGTTGAAGAATCAAAACTTCTTGCCTATCTAAAATTGTAGTTGAAAGGTGATAACCATTGATAAGCATATCTTAGTAGCTGCTCAGACTTTGAGGTGCTAAGGGTATAAATATTGTATGTTTATATTTTATGATAGAGCTTGCAAGCAATTTTTCCATCATTATTCCTTCTTGGAAATAAAATGCATTTATTCCAACCATAGTCATCAAATTTTTAATTTTTCAGATCGAAGATTTTTTAATAAAAAACCATCTATCCTGTACGATAGTATGTGTTGTTGTAGAATCAATGAGCACATCATTTGACTCATTATTAGAGATTTTGTCATTCATATAAGCCTCTAAATCATCAATACCAATTGAATCCATGGATGCATCTATGGTATGAACTTCATAAGCCTCAACTCAAAGTTTCTTATTTTTTTGGAATATTTTAATAAAATATTTTAAAATACAGCAAACATATACTAAATGTTCAATTATTCCACATATATGGCAAGATCACATCTTTGATTTTTTTTTCCATTGTAATTGGTTATAAAATATTTATTCTCTCTATGTGGGCAGAAATAGTCATGACTATGACTAACTTGGTGCTTATGAGCATTTTTTCTATGTTTTTATAGTTATTTTTTAGACTTTAGAATATTAGTGCATGAAATTTTGGAACCATGGTTCTAATAAAACAAGCTTCTGTATTATGCAAGAATAGCTCGTTTTGTTTCTTTGCAAGAAATAGATTGGACATGAGATCATGATGACTCTGAAATTTCATGTTCTTATATTGTTGTGTAAGCACAACCAATGTAGGAAGAAATGTAGATAGAGTTTTTTCAATTATTTCTTCTTCAGTGATGCTTTGTCCATATAATCATAGTTATAAGATAATATGATATATTTCACTATTGAAGGCATTTAAATTTGGAAAATCCAAGACACATAAATGTATCCAATCATGACATGTAAGTAGAAAGAAAATGGGCTTTTGATGATCAAACTTGGATTAAAAATTCTCCTAGAGCTTGGCTGGATCTTCCATTTCCAAATATTAATGTTGCAATGAAGGTACAAGATGTCGACAAAGGAGAAGAAGTACTTTCCAACAAATAGCAATAGAATTTGAAGTATTTATAATAGAAGATTCTTTAAATAGAATTACATCCAAGAGTTGTTTTGTAAATAAATTTACTATTGCTATTTTTTATCCATAATAGATAATTATTTCTATTGGCAGTCAATGGTAAAAATAAAACAGCTTGAAAATATTGAGATGTAGTGATGATGGTTGAAAATATAATAGAAGCAGTTGAAGATAGTAAAGCACTCATTATAAATAATTCTATAAATAATAATACAAGATCAAGTAGAAAAGGTTGAATAAAATTCACCTTAAAATGTAAAGCCAAATAAAATGATAAAGTTGAAATTTAAAATCAAAAATATTAAAAAAATTAGGATTTTTTTTTTTTTTTTTTTTTTTTTTCCACAAAAATAAGGATATGTGATGGATTGCAGTAGGATGCGGCAATTTGGTGGCAGGATGCAGCAATTTGGTGATAGGGCGAAGCAAATGGCAGCAAGGTACGATAGTTTGGTGGTAGTGTGTGATAATACAGCAGCATAGCAGCAACAACAACACAAGATAGCAACAACAACAACAACAACACAAGATAGCAACAACAACAACAACAACACAAGATAGCAACAACAACAACAACAACAACAACACAAGATAGCAACAATAGCAATAACAATAGAAACAAGACATGACGACAATAGCAGCAACAATACCAATTGTAATAACAGCAACAGAAACATCAAGACATGATAGCAACAGTAGCAACAACAACAACTCAAGAAGAAAAAAAATTAATGAAAAAAAAAAGAAGAAAGTGCCCATAAGTTTTTAAGAACTAAAACTAAGGCATAAGAGTAATCGTACTAATAATGTATTGAGAATGTTTTAAAAAGAGAAAGATAAGAATAGCTAGAAGTAATATGCATACATATATAAATACATATAAACAAGAAAGTGAGTTTATTGATAGGATTATCTCTCTTATACAAAAAAAATGAGAGAAGATAAATAGTTTTTCTCCACTATATTTAAAAAATTGTAGCTACAATAAATAATATAGAGAGTGCTGGCTACATTTAATGGTTTTAACACAAACAATGTGAGTGTGACTTGTGTGAGGTAAGTAGATTATATTTTTTTATTAGAAAAAGAAGATAATTTTTTAAAGAAATTTTAGAATGTTGGATTATTTCTTCTTTGTTTATTGGAGAGTTTAATTGTAGAAGTCATATATTGACCACTTTTAGATCCTTAATTTGTATAAAATATCAAAGAGGATTATTTAAGAATATTAGTTTACATATGTTATTCAAAAAAAGAGGTCCCAAATTATTTTTTGTATTTAATGCTTGTCAACAATATTAACTTGTTTTAGAAGTAAATTTTCTATTTCAATTCTTTACATAAGATTTTATAACAATAATATATATGTATTTTGTATGTGTTTTTTAAGAAATATTTAATAGATATCATTTTAAATTTTTGTATTAAAGTAATTTAAATTTTATAATATTTTAGTTGATTTTTAAAAAGATTACTTGTTAATATATATATATATATATATATATATATATACACACATATATATTACATTTTGGTAACATATCTAAACTATCTCAAATCATTAATATATATATATATATATATATATATATATATATATGTTACTTGTACAGTTTGATGGACAAAATATGCATTGATAAAGTTTACACAAGAGTGTATAAATACGTATTGTAAGGTAAGATTGACAATGGTTTATAAATAATAAAGTTGGTTAATAATTATATAAATTTTTAAAGAAAATTATATTTGTATATATTATCAGATTTTATTTGTATCTAATTTTAAAAATAAAAAATAAAGAAGATGTAAAATATCGATTGCAACCTATACAAAATTAGAAACTAAAAATGGTTTGTTTCTTATTTTTTCTAAGAACTTGTATTACAAAATTATTTTAAAAAATATGACGCATTTCTAAAGTTACTAAAATAAAAAATGTGGATGGCTAAATTTGTGTGTCTTTATTTAGAAAAATGTCATAGTGAAATTATTTAAAATGTAACAGATTATATCAACATGTTGGCAAAAATTTAGAAAAAAAAAAAAAAAAAAAAAAAAAATGATATGACATGATAACTGTTATTGAGACAAGTGAGAATTTAGTTGGTGATTGAAGTCTCAAAACAAAAGAGTAGATCTCAAAAAAATAAAATAAAATAAAATAAAATAATGCAACAATGGTAATTTACCAATACTCAATTTTTATTCTAAAAATGATGAATAAAATAAATAAATAAATAAATATATAATATATAGTTAATTTTTAAAAATATTTAATTTTAACATTACGAAACATCCATTCAAGACAAAGATAGGAACAACAATCCCTTCATGCATGAGAATAACGACACCAATATTCAAAAAGTCACGTACTTTGGAAAGGAGAGAACAAAAAAGAAAAAAGACTCGAACCTTAGAAAGATGTGCGCTTGGAAAGAAAAAGCGTGGGTGGGCAACAACAACAATAGAAGAAGGGGCAACGCGAGAGAGAAAGAAAAGACGGACTAACAAACACGATGGGAACAGCACGGGCCGACGCTTCTAAGGGTGACCTGATCCGACCCGACTGGCCCAAGACCCCCCCCCCCCCCCGTGCCCACCGGGCCATCCTTCTTCGTGCGCCATGGTTGCCAGGCTCTCGCAAGCTCTCAACTTACAAAATTAAGAAGAAGAAGAAGACCTATCCAGCGACGTGAACGTTGCTGTCTGTTGATCAACGCCAGGCGACATACTCCCCCCCCCCAACTAGCTCGTCTGGCCGATCCAAACTGCTCTCTAGATTTTTTCCTGTGGAGTTTCGATCGTTTTCCTGTCATCGAAATTAGGGTTTGTTTTTGGGTCTTCTTCATGCATAGAATCTTCACTTGAGAGTGCTCGGTCCGCGTCGCTGTCGTGTATTTATTTTAGAGATTTTTTTGGGTCTGGTTTATAGTCTTCGCAAAATATTGGGTTACGGATGCTACCTCTTCCTGCTGTTTGTCGTGTACAGCAGCATGAAGCGGAGGAAACCTTAATTTCGTTTTGTTATGTTGTTTTGTGTCAATTAGCCTCGAATTGGCGTCCTGTGAGTGGTCACACAGTTGTTCCGCGTGGGTGAAGGCAGTGTGGATGTGGGGTTGCGAGGAGGTGTGAAGTTGATGGTTACTTAGTTGCGGGCAGGCGGGATTTGGATTGGTCTCTCTCTTTTTTTTTTCTTTTTTTTTTTTTTTTCTTTTTTTTTCCCTTTTTTGGTTTTTTAGTTTTTTTGCTTCTACCCCTCGCTAGGTGTGTGCGTGTTCTACATCAAATTTTCCCATGTTGTCGGTGGCGGGAATGGCCAGTCATGGCGAGAGTATGCCCAGTGTTGTTTTAGATAACAAGGACGCAATCCATGTTGCGGAGGCCTTGACGGATGAGCTGCAAGTAGATGATGGCATCAGGCATTATAAAAAAGGCATGTGGACTGTGTCGGAGCTGCTTGTGCTGCAAGCGGTGAGGCGCGAGGATTTTGAGCGACAAGCCAAAGGTGGCAGCAGGGAGAAACACAGGTGAGTCAGCTGGTTACTACTGCAACGCTATCGTCTAGTGCCATGTGAATTACATATTGTTTTCAGTTATATGTATTTTGATCTGCATTTTGCACCCCTCAGAGTTGAGAATGGAATGTGGCGTGAAAGCCCTGAAGTGGCGAGAGAGCATCATAACAGGTCAGCCCATGAGAGATGGAAATGGATGGAGGACCGGTGCTGGATGCAAGGAGTGCAGCGCAGTGCGGGGCAATGTCAAGACAAATGGGAGGGAATTACTGCTGGTTTTAAGAAGGTTAACGATTACGAGAAGCAGCTCACGATTGGTCAACCATCCTACTGGCAATTGGGAAGTGATGATAAAAAGAAGTTACGGCTGCCTCCAAATTTCCACAAGGAGGTGTTCACAGCGCTCCAGGAGTGGTATGTCAAAAGCCGCACCGGGGAGCCGGGTGTTCTATTCGATGCGTTAGCTCCTTCAAGAGGAGTTGGTGAGATTCTGCCCTCCTTCATGGTAGTACCTTTGTGCATGAACCCTTTAAACTGCAGAATGCTATTCAAAGCGTACCTAGCTGTGTTCTTTGGTCCTCAAGTCTTTAGATAGTGGTGTGGTTACGGTAGGTGAGGAAAATCCATCTAATTACAATATGTGCAGATGTGGCCTTGTTGTGCTTATAATACTAAAACATCAACTTGTGGTGCACAGCAAGCAACATGGACTTTTCTGGGTCTGCGGGAGAAAGCGATGAGAATGATGCGGGGCCAATATCCTCCGGAAAGCGGAGACGGTCTGGACCTTCAAAATTTGGCAGTATGGATGGCATTGCTGCTGTGCTAGAACGAAATAACAGGAACATTGTGGATGCTTTGAGGCTGGCCGAAGACAGGAAGGACAATAGACACAAGCAGACCTTACAATTTGAACGGGAGAAGCATAGAGATTTAATTGAGCTTCAGAAGCAGCTGGGAAGTGGCTACATTACCGCTTTGAACCGGATTGGTGATGCTCTGGATAAGTTTGCAATGGCCATGCAAGCATCGAGCCGACACTGACAATTTTGGAATGATTGTCCTTTTGTCTAGCATATCGCTGGGCAAGTTGTGGCACGCGTGCATGTGATACCGATTCTTGTATATTCACAACCTGGCTATGTCCGTGGACGGAACAGAGCTGGTGGTTTAGGGACACCTTCTCCCTCGTAATTCTTGCAACAGCTGGCAGCATTTCTATGATCATGAAGACGGCTGAAGTGCCTGAATGCTGAAGACGTCGCATGCTTCAAACCGAAGTTCCTTGTTAGAACAGGAAGCTTTTTAGACGAACTTCGTTCAAGTTCTGTAAATTTTCTCCACTTCTTGGGGTTGTAATGTTAACGACGCATAGACCTTTTGCGACATTTTCCATTGTTATTTGAATAGACGGAAAAAAAGAAGAAGAGGATATTGTTGACTTTTTGATTCGTCCACTTGCTCATTTGAGTGGTGAATTGCTGTGCAGATGAAGTGACATTGAATGCTTAAAGCGGACGGGCTGGACCTACATTTCGAACTAGCCATGCTCTCACTGAATATTAAACTGCCTACTTGGTTAAGTGATCTGTGAGAGACAAATCTCTGAACAGCAGGGTAATTTCAAACACATGGTCAAATAAATTCTGCGTAACGAACAGGATGTGCTTTTCATGTACGTCTCGAGTTGCAATTAGTGTTAATCTTCAGTTAGGGTACAGAATCGCATCAATTATACTTGACAAGTAAATATTTTTAACATTTAAAAACCGCACTGTAGCTAAGTATCGGATGTGGTAGATTATGCAATGCGACTTCTAGACGATACACATACACATACACTCACATACACACTCACATACCGCATGAGTCACATTTTGAAATTCCCATTTCCAAGTTTTGAAGTTTTATAAAGCATACAACCTTTTTAATCAGAAAAATACGCAGAGATGCAGAAGATGCGGCAACAGCCAAGTATTACGGCTTTGCTTGCAATCACGAAAAGAGCTGATTTATCATTCACGACATATATACATGCTTAGACAGAATTAATTTTGATAAGACGAAGATTGCACAGATGACTGACTTAATCGACACATGAGCCACAGCTGCCAATACCACCTCCACAGTTCATCACTTGTGCCTGTTACTCACATCATCACCACAAATATACTCGGTGAAAAACTTACGATCCAATCCAATTTCATCTTACAACCACACCTTAAATGATTTGACACACAGCTAAATGACAGTCTAGAACATTGCCCATCACTCTGTCGAATATTTCTGACCAAAAAAATGGATATATCTCCACCTGCCTTGGGATGCACGCCCACAAACTTGCATTTAGAATTCTTCGGAAACATTGCTAAGCATCTGCAATAGTCAAAGAAAACCCACAATGGAAGGAACATGTCACATGTCATGAGAATCGTTACCCCAAAGACTAGGTGGCCATGAAATTTGTGTTGTTTGTTTCGTTTTCCTTGCAAAAAAGAGTTGGATTATTGCTGAATTGCAAATTGAATGTTTAAAATTGCAAACTTGTGAATGATTAAAGACTTTGATGATTTATTATGGTTTTGTAAAGTATGGATGATGCTTTGATTTCAACAAAACAATGTGAAATACATAGATTGATAGCAAGAAAGAAAGAAATACTAATATTATTGATATAAAAAGATTTATAATGTAATACTAAATCAATCCACTTATCAAAACCATCATTACACTCCCATCTCTCATCTTTATTCTTAGTTCCATCTCCATTCTCCATGCTTGTTTACTGTTTCAACCTTTTCATCACCGTAGCCCTTCTTTTTTAACTTTATTTTCAATGCTTATTCCTAAGAAGAAAGGGAGAAACATATGTGATTTGTACTAAAATCATATGCAGAATTACTAGTTTATAATGATATCACAAAAATAAACAAGTGTCTTATAACTAAGATAAAATTACTCGTATTTACTTAGTCAAATATATATCAACCTATATTAATTACAATCAATCTTAATCTAACAAATTAAATTCATCTAGAGATGAGGATGATTTATAATGTACACTTGTAGAATGTTAATATTTCAACAACCTCCTTCATTCTTAACATTGTTTGATTCTTCATGCTATAATTTAAAAATCATTATATGATATCTAATGAAGATATAATATAAAACTTTTTGTTGTATGATTTTTTTTCTTCTTATTTGGTGAAGTTATTGTTTGATTTTGAAATATTTTATTTTGTTGAATTTGTATAGTTTTGGCCAAGGAAGCTTGAGTTGTTGATAGTGTGTCATGGACATACACATTACTCTAATAGTTACTTATATGATTAGATAGAAATAGATAAATGTAGATTAATTTCATAATATCTTTTATAGAAGCTTTCTAGAAGCTTCATGGATGCAGTTTTGACTTTATATATATTTGTAGTTGATTAGTAGGTTAAAAACTTAGTCAACAAGTTAACCAGATATCTCACATATTGGTAGCTTGTGGAACGAGCTAATTATGTAGCGCACATATAAATAACTTGCTTTGCAAGTTAAAACATGTGTATAATAAACTTAATAAATGTTAGAGGTCCTATAGAAGATTGTTATATAGCTCTTAGTTAGAGAGTATATATAGAGGCAAGATTGAAGCCTTCTTCACTCTTATCACTGCCTTTCTAGTCTTTAGTCTTGTTTCAAGACTTTTTAGTCTTCTTATCTTTGGCAATAGCTATTTTAGTTCAATATATTATCATCTTTGAATGATTTTTTAATCTTTTCAAGTAACACAAAAGTATATCAAGTTTTCTTTCTTCATGATTTATGTCCTTTACAATTTGATAAGAGTGCTAACTTATTGTTCTTGTCTTGATTTAGAAGTGAGTGGATTATTTTACTTCTATTCTTGCATTTTCAAGGATGCACACTACTCATCTTTAAACAAATAATTTAATTTTCTAATACTATTTTTTTTCTTGAAAAAAGTATATTATTCATCTTTGTGAAAATTTCCATTTGATATTAGAGATTGCAGATTACTCTTCTCTAATTTAACTTTTTGAATTTATTTGAATTGTCTATTGAAGAAAAGATTACAGATGCTACTCTCAATAGAAGTAAAAATAGATTTGTAATTATTGCAGGTCTTCACAAATTTGTTAACACTTTAAGAGTGGAAATCTCATGCATTACTAATCTGAATTATAGAACTGCTATTTCTACATATATGAAAGAAGTCTAGAGTTTATGCTAAAAAATTGTGCAATAGAAGGAAATAAATAGATTAGTTTCACAATCAAATTTAAGAAGTCTTCTTTCTATAAGCTCAAGGGAGATAAACATTAGTATACTTAAGAAGTTTGATGGAATAAGATCAAAATTTCAAAGATTTTTACAATAAGTTAAGCTCTATTTAAGATTGCATCTTTTCTAATACCTCAATGGATTTATTCAAGTAAGATTCATAGGCACACTTCTATTAAGAAGAGCTCTTTCTTGATATGTACCTTTGATGAAAAAAGATTCATGACTACTCTATGATTTGAATTCATTCTTAAAAGAATTTGTGGCTACATTTAAAGAAAGTAATTGAAAAAGGGTAGCAAAGACCAAACTTTTATCGCTACAACAAAGATCACGTTCAACCACTACATATGCTATTAAATTCTAAAATCTTGCTTATAACATGAATTGGAATGATAAAGCCTTTATCAATTAGTTTTGATATAAGTTAAAAATTAATATTAAAGATTTATTGTTGACAATACAAAGAGTAGATTCATTGGAGCAATTTATTATTTAAGCCATTGCATATGACAATTAACTCTTTGAAAGAGGCTATGAACAAAGATTTGGTTGGATAAGTACAAGTTAAGCTATAGCAACACCTTCTAAGTTTTTAAAAGCTTATTTGTTCATGCAAGAGCCTATGCAAATTAATACGGTACGTTTTAAATTTTTTATTAAACGAAAAAAGACTCATCGTTGTCAAAAAGATTTATGCCTATATTGTGGAGAATCCAAGTACAATGCTTAACATTGTCCAAAAAAAAAACACAATTATAAAATAAAGAGCATGGTTACCAAAGAGGACAATGTATTAAAAAATAAGTTTTTTCAGCTACAATAGAGATCATGTGAGTAGAATCTTACATAAAATCTAATAAAGGTTCTATTCTCTTCTAAAATCCTTCATCTTATTTCATAATAGAAGTTTATTTAGGACCAAAAAATCACAAAGTCTTAGCCTTGTTAGATTCAAGAGCCTCAACCTATTTTATAAACAAAGTCTTTGTCAAAAAATAAGAAATATTATTAATTGAGAAAACTAAATTCATATATGTAGAAGTCATAGATGATTGTTTGCTATCTTTTAGAGATGTTACTCATACAATTATTTCTTTAAATATAGAAATTAAAGATCATAATAATATAGTAATATTTAATGTGATAAGATCTTTATTCAATTTGATTATTTAAGGATTATTATGGTTAAAAAAATACAATCTTTAAATAGATTAGATTTCTTGTAATCTTAACTTTTCTTGTACTTTGATCCAAAATTTTATTAATCAAGTAGAAATACATAAGCTTATTACATCCAAATCCTTATTAGTAGGTGCAAAAGGTTTCATTATTGTAACAAAAGAAGGATTATTTTTTCTTATATATGTCACATCTATTTTTGATGGTAGAAAGATAAGTGATATTTTTAGCTAATATTAAGATTTTTAAGATATTTTTGAAAAAAAAAATAGAAATATTCTTCTAAAGCTTGACCTATAATTATTCAATTGATTTACAAGAAAAATCTCAACCATCATTTGGACCAATCTACATCTTATAACAAAATGAGTTGGCTGTAGTAAAAGAGTACATTGATGAAAACTTGGCTAAGAACTTTATATTCTATTTGAAATCTCTATTAAGAGCTCCTATCTTATTTATAAAGGAAAAAAAAAAAAAAAAAAAAAATCTCTATGGATGTGCATATATTATTGAAGAATTAACAAGATCACCATTAAGAATAGATATTCCATACTTATGATTTCAGGACTTTTTAACTAACTCAATTAAGCAAAGATCTATACAAAAATAGATTTATAAAAAGTATAAAATTTAGTCCATATTAAATAAAGAGATGGATAGAAGACTATGTTTTGAACTAAGTATGGATATTTTGAATGTAATATCATGCCTTTTGGACTCACAAATATACCAATTACTTTTTAACATCTCATGAATGACATTTTTTGTAATTTTTTTGATGATTTTATTGTCTATTATTTAGATGATATTTTAATCTACTCGAAGAATACATAAAAATATAAATTTCATGTTTTTCGTGTGTTACAAAAATTTAGAGATGTAAGATTGTATGCCAAGATGAAAAAGTATGTATTCCACACTACTTAAGTTGGCTTCTTAGGATATATCACTTCTAGCAAAAGACTGATGATGGATTTAAAGAAGATCTAGACTATCATGGATTAGAAGATTTCAAAAATATGCAATATTTTTTAAAAATTTTTAATTATTATAAAATCTTCATTAAAAACTATTTTCAAGTTGTGGCTCTTTAGAGACACTTGACATATAAAGACAAACTTAAGTGGAGCAAAGAAGCTGAAGCATTCTTTGAAGCTTTGAAAATAATATTAAATCATAATAATACTAAGCAAGCTTTAATCAATTCAAGAAAATCTTAAAGGAATTACAAAGAAATAATAAGAAATCTTAAAAAAATATTAGAATGATTACAAATATATCTCAAATAA